AACCCCCTTTACCCTCAACCCTAAACCCCAAACCCTCGTCCAGATCTCCTGGCCTTTATAATATATGGTAAACCGCTACAGCCCGTATACCCTCCACCCCAAACCCTCGTCCAGTTCTGAAGGCGCTTATACTCAACCCTTACATCCTAAAACCCAAACCCTAAACCCTCAACCCTAAACCCTAAACCCTAAACCCTAAACCCTAAACCCAGACCCTAAACCCTAAACCCTCAACCCCCTAACTCCTCGTGCTGGGCCTCGGCCGGAGTCGTTCGGAGGGCTCGACGGCCTCGAAAGCCATGGGATTCGGACTTTCGGATTCAGGGATTCGCGGATTTACGGATTTTTGTCTTTGAGAATTAGGGTTTAGGGTTTAGGGTTTAGGGTTTAGGGTTTAGGGTTTAGGGGAATTTAGGGTTTTCAGGGCCTGGATTAAGGGCTGATTGCGATTTAAGGAACTAGGGTTAAGGGCGCAAGTTTTCGGGGTTTGGTCTAGAGTCTAGGAGCCCCTAGACCGAAGTGTCGGGCTGCAGGGAATCCACCACCTCTGAATTCGGGCCAGGCGTTGCGTCATTGAACGGTCTATGAGTGTTGTACCAACCAGGACCCCCCCATGGCCCTTTAATAGAGACCTCATGGTCCTTAATAGTGGGTTTTGGGGATAATAGAGGGTAGTTGGGGGGTCTAGTTACATGGGTAGTTCTCTAAACTAGGGCCACCAAAATAGTACGGCACCCTTATAAACAAGGACCCTAGAAGGGACCCTGATTCAGAGAACTACCCACATGATTGTTTTCGGCAGTCGAAGCCAGTGTCCGGGAATTGTTAGGCTTCAAATCTTTAAACCTTTAGGTTTTAGCGTTTGGAGTTTGGGGCTTAAATGGTTTTAGGCTTTAGGGTTTTGGCGTTCTTCAACGGGCCCTGGAAGCTACGTTTTTGGATGCCTTATTCTGATTTCCTTGTAGAGGTCATAAAAACATGCAGTCTCTGCAGGCTTCAGGCGGGTTCTGTAGCTTTAAGCCCGAATAACCCATATCCTAAACCCTTACATCCCAACCTTAACTTAAGCCCTAAACCCTCAACCCGAAACCCACCCGAAACCCTAAAGCCTAAACCTAAACCCTAAGCCCCCAAATTAAGCTCGATAGGGTTCCCCAACTGCCCCCAAAACACCCATTTTAGGGGTGCCTTATTCTGCCCTAGACCCACACAAGGCCCTAACCCCTAAACCCTAAACCCCTAAACCCTAAACCCCTAAAACCTCAACCCTAAACCCTAAACCCCTAAACCCTAAACCCCTAAACCCTCAACCCTAAACCCTAAACCGCTCTACCCTAAACTAGACACTAGACCCAAAGATTAGGGTTCAGGGCGGTTCCCCAGCTGAGGCTCGCACGCAGAGCCCTGCCGCCTTGGCAGCTGCGGCGAGGTCCTCAGATTTGGAGGGGTTAAGGGGTCAGGGGTTTAGGGTTTAAAGTTTAGGGTTTAGGGTAAAGGGCTCAGGGGTTTAAAGTTTAGGGTTTTGGGGTTTGGGGTTCAGGGTTTAGGGGTTTAGGGGTTCGGGGTTAAGGGGGTTCAGGGTTTAGGTGTAGGGTTGAGGGCTCAGGGGTTTGGGTTTAGGGTTTAGGCTTAAGGTTTAGGGTTTAGGGCTTAACGGCTGAGGGGTTTAAGGTTTAGGGTTTTAGGGTTCAGGGTTTGGCTTCCGGGTTTAAGGTTTACAGTTTGGGTTCACGTCTCACAATTTTCCAGGACCCCCAGTGGCCCCTTAATAGAAACCTTATGGTCCTTCATAGTGGGCATTTGGGGGATAATAGAGGGTAGTTGGGGGGTCTAGGTAGGGTTCAGTCTTTACAGTTTAGGTTAAGGGCTCAGGGGTTTAGGGTTTAGGGTTTAAGGTCTAGGGGTTTAGGTGTTTAAAGTTGAGGGTCTTAGCGTTCAGGGTTTGGGGTTCAGGGTTTTGGGATTTAGGGCTCAGGGTTTGGGGTTCGGGTTCAGCGTTCAGGATTTGGGGTTTTATGGTCTGTGGTCGTGGGGGTGTGGGTTCAATAAAGGGCCAACAAAATGAGAACTGGGCATTAATTAAGGGCCTAATTCAAACAGCAAGACTCACAGTAATAATCAGAGTAGCGACGATAATGATGAGAATAAACATAAACAGCAATAGCATCAACGAGGCTAGCAAAAAAAGCATGGGGTTTCTGTACCTGACTCTGCGAAAGAGCCTTATGGTACGACCTGGCTGCATTTTGGGGATCTCTGGCGGTGCTTTTCAGAGTCACACTAACCTTGAGGGTTCGCTTGAGGGTTCCTGTAAGGGCTCCTTTGAATGTCACCGCAGGGTTAGGGTTAGGGTTTAGGGTTTAGGGTTTAGGGTTTGGGGTTTAGGGTTTAGGGTGTAGGGTCTAGTGCTCCCTGTAGGGTTGGGATAGGGTTCCTCGAAGGTTTGCAGAAGTGTTTCAGGTGGGTCATCTGGTTCGACCTATTGATCTAATAATAAGGAAACCGCAGTACTTATTACGTGCCCACAATATAGATCCTTACCTGGAAACAATAGCTGAGTACCGTAACAAGATTTCAAGAAGGTTTAGGGCGTCGACTCTACTTTGGTATTTATTGTGTAAAGATTTTAATCCCCAAAACCCAACCCCTAATTTAGGGATTAGGATTTGGGGATGTAGTCTTTGGGGTTTACGGTGAGCATTTCAGTTTGGCAAAGGAAAACCACCAAGTACCAGGACTCTCTAAGCCAAAAAAATGGAAAACCGCAACGACATCCCTATCACACCCGCTGGAACTCAAGCAGGCTTTGCCCCAAATCCATACCCGATGTCCAAAACTCCAGAACCAGCTGGAGCCTAAACAAAAAAAACCTAAACCCTAAACCCTGAACAACAAACCATAAACCCTAAACCCTAACAAGGCCCACATCTCATACCTTACATGGAGGACAGGGTCGGGATAATGCACACAGGCTTTCTTTAGCACCCGTGGAGCTGCGCACCACACTAGCAGACAGCCCAGGATGGCCCGGTTTAGGGTTTAGGGTTTAGGGTTTAGGGTTTAGGGGTTTAGGGTTTAGGGTTTAGGGTTTAGGGTCTGAACCCTCAAGCCTTGAAAGCCGAGGCCAGAATAAAGTCCCGAAACTTGTATCCAACACCCTTTCAACCCGCAACCCTATAAGGTACATGCCCTTTAAGGACCCCCATGCAGGGACCTTCCACCCTAAACCCGTAAACCCCGTAAACCCAACACGCTAAGACCCAAACCCGAAACATTTAAGTACTGGGGCTTCTGAACCTTAAACCCGTAAACCCCGTAAACCCAACACGCTAAGGACCCAAACCCGAAACATTTAAGTACTGGGGCTTCTGAACCTTAAACCCGTAAACCCGTAAACCCAACACGCTAAGACCCAAACTCGAAAGATTTAAGCACTGGGGCTTCTGCCAACCGGTGTATGCTTTCCACACCTGCAGCCACTTGTGCGAGATGCAATGCCTGAGCCGAAGAGGACTCCAAAACCAACCTAAACAGTTCAACCCTGAACGGTTTAGGGTTTAGGATTTAGGGTTTAGGGTTTAGGATTTAGGGTTTAAAGTTTAGGGTTTAGGGTTAAAAGTTGAGGGTTTAGGATTTAGGGTTTAGGGTAAAGCTCTCAACCCCTAAACCCTAAAACCCCAAAATGCCTGAACCCCTCCTACGTAGCGCTAACCCTCCTCCAGGGTGCGGTTGGGGAGTCAGCGGCATGTGGGCTTGGGGGCTTATGGCTTCTGAGATGTTAGGCTTCCGGGCTCTTTAAGTTTCCGGTCTTCCTTACAGGGTTCGGGGTGTAGGAGGGTTCAGGGTTGAAGGTTTAGGGCTATCTCTGACAAAAGAATATGGAGCTCCTTTCGGTTCCTTTGGAGGCCTCCTTTTTGCAAAAAGGCCTCCCCCTATAAGGGGTTCCTCAGGGCCAGTTGAGACTTTCGGGCTCAAAAGCTGACCTTGCTTTAGGGTTGGAAAAGCCGTCAAGGACAGCCAGAATCGGATGTACTTATGAAGAGGGTCCAAAAACACTACGATTCTGGAGTTAGGTCCCCCAAAGCCATGAGTAGGATGGTCTTTTGGTGTCGAATTCCATGATGGCAGTTTCTGTGGACCCTCGGGGCTATAGGGATTCAATAGGCCCTTTTGAGGGGTGCATCAGGATTTATACAGAAGCCTTACGGCATTTTGACCAAGGCTCTTGGTGTATATTAATGCATACATGATATAAGGACTTGCTATGACCGGCAGCAGTCTCGAAATATTCAGACCCCTAACCTCCATGTTAGGGGCGTCGTGTTGGGCCTAGAGTATAGGGTTTGCGGGCTCAAAGTTGATGATTGCGGTTTTGCCTGGGCAACAAAATAAGAATGGATTCAGTGAGGGCTGATACAGTATGCATCATATTAGGGCTTGAGGGGGGTTAGGGCCTAGGGTTATAGGTCAGCACTGCTACGGCCATGAACCCTCAACCCTAAACTCCGAACCCCTGTAAAGCTTTGACGTCCTGATGTAGGGACCGTCCACGGTTTAGGGTTTAGGGCTTAGGGTTAAACCCTAAACCCTAAACCCTAAGGGTTTGTGGGATGCTACGAAAAGGCAACCTAGACCTTAATCCCAACTGTAAGACACCCTGATGCCCAAAGAGACCCTGGAAGGCTTTGTCATCAAAACCCCATAAGATCCCTAAGACAAACCCTGTCGAACAACCCTGGAATCTCGAAAAAAACCGAAAAATAAGGACCCAACTGCAAAGCAAAACCCAAGCCCTCACCACCCCGCTCTACAAGGGTTTAGGGTTTAGGGTTGTCAACGCAAGCCTTGCACAGGACATCGACTTCCGCAGGAACTCGTCTGCTCGAGGACCAAAAAGAGCAGCGGTGAGATTGCCCCAGGCGGGGCAGTGCAGCTACCGACATTGGTAGCGGGGCCCGTAGTTCTTTGTCCCTAGGAAGGGATCGGTTGCAACGCAAGCCATGGATGAACGGAGTTTCAAAAGGTTCTCCGGAGATGATGATGATGCCGGGAAGGCTTTGAAAAGATGGCAAGCTTGGGCCACTGCAAAGATGATGACCGTCAAGGACTTGTCCAAGCAGCAGCGAGGTCCCTGGCTTTTTACCCTGCTCGAAGGCAAGGCTCTTGAAGCTTGCGAACACCTCAGCCTAGAAGAGCTGTCGTCAGAAAGTGGCGAAGCGAAGGTGTGGCAGCTGTTGAAGGAGAGATTCCCTGAGAAGGAGCCTCAAGATCAGATGGGGGAAGCCCTTGGCGAGGTTTTCGCTTTGGCGGCCAAGGACGGGGAGTCCATGAAGGAATGGACGGCGAGAGTCGTGGAGACTTTCGAGCGTTGCCGAAGGAAGGCAAATGTGGATTTCCCCAAGGAAGCTCGAGGGTGGATCGCTCTTCATTGTGCCGGTTTCAACGAAGAGCAGAAGGCCATCGTCAAGGCTAAGACTCAGGGCAAGATGGACGTGGAGACCGTGAGCGCCGGAATCCGGTCCTGTTTCCCGAGCTACAAGGCCACCAGCTCCAGAGCAAAGCGCCCAACGTCAGTCATGCTGGCTGAAGACGACCAGGTCCCGGAGCAAACAGCACTCGACACCATGCCTTTCGATGATGTCGAGGCCTTTCTGGCGGACCACGACTTGGCACAGTCGGCTGAAGACGAAGCGCTTTCGGAAGCTGAGGCAGCGGAAGCTCTGGCTGTAACCTGGAAAGAGCGGCGGCTCGAGATCAACCGGTTGAACAAGAGCCGCCAGTTTCAGAGCGCAGACGCTGCCAAGCGCAGCTTTAGAGTCGAAATCGAGGAACTAAAGAAGCGAACGAAGTGCAACAAGTGTGGCAGGACTGGGCATTGGGCCCGGGAATGCCGGGCCCGGACAAATGCCTCTGGAAAGCCGCTATCGTCTGGCAACAGTTCTGGTGGCGCCACGTCGTCGGCTCCACAGCGGGGCGGCTCTGAGACGCTCTACGTGGAGGCAGAGGCCCAGGAGACCATCACTGATGAGATCTTCTTCGTCGGGGCCGCTGAGGAGGTGCTCGCGGCAACGCTGATTTCCAGCCCCGGCTTTGGCGTGCTTGACTCCGGTTGCGGCAAGACGCTAATCGGCGAGGACACCCTTGATGAGATGGCGACCATGCTCCAGGGACGCGTGATTGTGAAGAGTTTTCAGCAGAACAGCTTTCGCTTCGGAAATGGTGCTGCTGAAGAGTCGCAGACAGTGGC